TGCTAAGACGTATTCTGAATTCCTTAAGTTCCTAGGAGATGAGAAGGACCTTGGAAGTCCATTCCAGATAAATTACCCCTCCTCCACACCCCTTGATTTTACTGCGCTAGATCCCACACCACGGAATTGCGCTGACAACGACCTGGAAAGCCGCTGCACTTGCATCGACTGCCCCACAGTCTGTCCTGCACTTCCTTACGACCCTCCACAGATGAATAGCTCAACATGCCAAGTCGGCACGCTTTCATGCCTCTCATTCGTACTCATCCTCGCATACTCCCTCTGCGTAGTTGCCTGTGTATTTGGCTATGTCCTCCAGGTCACTATAAGGAAGCGAAGAGAGAAAAGATACGAGAGAATGGCATTATCAGCGGACACCGCATCCATCCGCTCCCCTCCATTACACACACGCGGTCTTGTTGGCGCGGTCTCACTTCCGCAAGGTGATGCAAATGACTCCCTCGGAGCTCAATCAACAGAATCTCGGCGGCTCGGTCGTGGTGCTTCCCTTCTTGATCCCATTGAAGCGTCTCAGCCACGCCAATATCGCCTCAACACAATCCTTCGTCGCGTTTTCTATCGTTTAGGCCTTGTTGCGGCATCCTGGCCATTCTTGACATTTTCACTCGTGTTTACCGTGATTGGTTTGCTCAACTTAGGCTGGCAAAGATTCGACATTGAGACTGACCCAGTCCGGCTATGGGTCGCTCCCGACTCAGAAAGCATATTACAGAAAGAATACTTCGATGAACACTTTGGTCCCTTCTATCGTCCACAGCAAATATTTATCACTGCACTCTCAGGCCCTCCCATCACCGTCGACCCGCCTTCATTCACACGTACTGGTGTATCTTCGCAAGATCCTGTACTCAGTTACGACCATCTACGATACTGGATGGACGTAGAGAGTGATATACGTGCTCTCCGTTCTTCCCCCAATGACTACGGCCTCACAGATGTATGTTTCAAGCCTGCCGGGCCACAAGGAGCATGTGTCGTACAGTCTGTCGGTGCATGGTTTGGCAATGATCTCAGTAATTACGACGAAGAGTCTTGGAAAGGCCGATTGGTTCAATGTGCAAATTCCCCTGTGGATTGCCTTCCAGATTTTCAGCAGCCTCTTAGCCCACAGTATGTCCTAGGTGGCGTGCCCGAGGATATGCCTGAGCGCAATTCATACCTCGATGCAAAGGCTCTTGTCGTCACTTATGTGGTGGCGAATTCACTCGACGAGGCGGAAATCGCGAAGGCTGTCGAATGGGAGCAAACTCTGAGGGCATATCTTGTCGATCTTAGCGAACGCATTCCCTCTGAGGCGGGCATGAATATCGCATTCTCTACTGGCGTTTCTTTAGAGGAAGAAATCAGCAGGAGTACCAACACTGACGTCAGGATTGTTGTCCTCTCGTATCTTGCAATGTTCCTCTACATATCACTGACTCTAGGCAATGGGTCAGCAGCAAGGGAGGAAGAGGGTGTAATAGCATCCCTCTCTTTGTGGGCTCGCAATTTTCCTCAGCTATTCAAACGGTCAAGCATTACTTCCTCTTCGGTCTCTGTCGACTCCCGTAATACGCCGCACATTTTACCGAGACTGCCTCGCCATCTCTTCGTCGGCTCGAAATTCACGTTAGGCTTGTTTGGAATCGGACTTGTCATTCTGTCCGTCTCATCTTCAGTTGGTTTCTTCTCCCTTGTCGGCGTCAAGACGACCCTCATTATTGCTGAAGTCATTCCTTTCCTTGTACTCGCCGTCGGTGTCGACAATGTCTTTATTCTCGTTCACGAGCTTGATAGGCAAAATTTCCTCCATGGGCCTAATGCTTCAGCAATTGCTCCGGGAGGAGGATACCCAGCGTCCCGCTCTCCTAATCCTCACCGCTCACCTTTTGAATCGGCACATGATGAATCTGTCGATACTGCCTCGGTACCCTTGTATCTATCTGCAGAGGAAAGGGTTGCGCGGACGTTGGCAAAGATGGGTCCCTCAATTCTGCTGAGCTCTGTGACAGAAACAGTTGCTTTTGGCCTTGGTGCGCTGGTGCCCATGCCAGCTGTACGCAATTTTGCCTTGTATGCCGCTGGTAGCGTCTTCTTGAATGCGTTGCTCCAAGTTTCTGTCTTTGTCAGCGCGCTTACCATTGATCTGAAGCGTGTAGAGGTGAGTAATCGTCTGTCCGTTCACAGATAACTTTTTAGACTAATTACTTCTGCAGGCAAGCCGAGTTGACTGTTTCCCCTGCATTAGATGGCCTTCCCGCATCGCCCTACTTGATGCTCCCATGAACGCAAGTGGACTAGGCAAGGTTGCTCGCTTCATCCGACGCCATTATGCCCCTTTCCTCCTTCGACCAGTTGTCAAGGGTGCTGTACTCCTTATTTTTGCGGGTTTCTTCGTGCTCTCTGCAATATCGATGCAGCACATTCAGCTGGGACTTGGTTCGTAATTTAATATGAAGTCAAGCTTTACTGTACTAACCACTTGACAGACCAAAGGTTGGCTCTCCCCTCGGATTCATACCTTAACGACTACTTTGATCATCTTGATGTGTACTTGGATGTCGGACCTCCAGTTTACTTCGTATCTCACGACCTTGACGTGACCCAGCGCTTTGGCCAGCAAGAGCTCTGTGGTCGTTTCACGACCTGTAATGAGTTATCTGTCGCTAACATTCTCGAGGCTGAGCGGAAGAGACCCGAGTCGTCATTTATCTCGCAGCCGACTGCGTCATGGATAGATGACTTTCTCAAGTGGCTTGATCCTGCCATGGAGACATGCTGTCGTGTACGCAAGAGAAATCCTTCCATTTTCTGTACTCCGAGAGATTCGGATCGATTATGCCAACCCTGCTTATACGGCAAGGAACCTGCCTGGAACATCACTATGGTCGGATTGCCCGAAGGAGAAGAGTTCATGCGGTATCTGAAGCAGTGGCTCATCTCACCTACAGACGAGACGTGTCCCTTGGCTGGCAAGGCATCATTCGGCACTGCACTCTCGCTTGACGACGAAACTGGTGTCGTCGCATCTCACTTCCGCACATCACACTCGCCTCTTCGCTCACAAGATGATTTCATCAATTCCATGGCGGTTGCACGCCACATAGCAACCAAGATATCAGAGCTCACCGGATCACAGGTTTTCCCATATTCTCTGCATTACGTTTTCTTCGACCAATATGCACACATCATCGCCATCACGCAGGAGATACTCGGACTTGGGCTGGCTGCTGTGCTAGTGGTCACAGCGCTACTGCTAGGTTCATGGCGCACAGGGACAATTGTGACGGGTGTGGTCGCGTTGACAGTAATAACTGTCATGGGCGTGATGGCAGTATGGGGCATTAGCCTGAATGCTATTAGTCTGGTGAACCTGGTCATTTCAATCGGCATTGCAGTGGAGTTTTGTGCTCACGTTGCAAGAGCCTTCATGAGTGCTGGTTCCGGTTTACCAGCTGATCATCCTGCAGGACAGAAAGAGCGAGATGAAAGAATGTGGACCGCCCTTGTTGACGTCGGACCCTCGGTGAGTGGTTCTCCTAATTGGTGCCTCGCCATGACTCACATCTTTCAGGTTCTGTCTGGTATCACGTTCACTAAGCTGATCGGCATGTCTGTCCTTGCGCTCACCCGGTCCAAGCTGTTGGAAGTAAGTTTTCAAATTACTGGTGGAATTATGCACAGGTTTTATGCGCCCCCACAGATATACTACTTCCGCATGTGGCTTACTCTCATCATCTCTGGGGCTTTACATGGGTTGGTACTTCTACCCGTCGTACTTAGCCTTGCTGGAGGACCAGGATTTGCTCAGCAAGAAGCTGATGAAGAGTGGATGTCAAATGCCATCAGGAGTGATTATGAGTATGCGTAAGTGACACCCTTCAGTTTCGAAACTACTGTTAACATTATGCATGGTAGACCTTTCCTTGCCGATGACGATTCCATGGCCAGCGATTAATATTATAGAGCACGGATCAAGACTTCATTGTGATACTGTAAAACAGGGACGGTAACCTTCATAATTACAGCAGCAAAGATACCAGAGTATATAGAATTGCTTTTATACTGGAGATCTGGACCTGCTATCTCTGATGTCATCTCGACTGTAACTCCTCCTTCCGCGGCTGAGAGATTTTGAACGAGTTCTGCTACGGCTGTACCGCGAATAAGAAGAGTAGGATGCGGAACGAGAGCGAGACCTAGAAGGAGTGCGTGAACGAGAGCGACTGGAGCGCACCGAGTAGCTCCTGGAGCGGGTTCGACCCCTACGCCCATACCCAGTTCCAATCCCTCCACGCTCGTAACTTGGAGACCTCCTTCTGAGTGGCAAGCGGTCCCCACGCCTGATAGGCGAGCGGGAACGTGATCGAGAAGGACGGTACGTGTCCCTGGCGGGGGGTCCACGACGTCCAAAGCCTCTGCCTCCTCGGAAAGATTCGTTGAAACGAGAAGGTTCATAACCTCTCCTACGGAACACCGGTGAGCGGGAGCGGGAACGCGAGCGAGACAGTGAGCGCCTTTCACGGCCGTTACGTGGAGGACGAGGGCGAGAACGAGAACGAGTGCGGATTGGGAGATCAGATAACTCGACTTTCACAATCAAACCATCTAGCTGACCACCATTCATGTGTGACACAGCTTTCTGGGCGGATGCTGCATCTGTGAATTCAAGAGCAGCCTTTCCTCGATTCTGGCCGGCTAGAATGTGGGAATAAATCAGATGTGCAAGAATGATAATTATCTAGAATCTTACATTTCAGGAAGAGTGGAAGGTCAATCTTCACGATTTCTCCATAGAACGCGAAAATAGTCTGTAGATGCGCTTGCACGACGTTGCGAGACAGACCGTTTATGACAACCACTTTGCACTTCTTGTCATCGTTTCCCCCATTCTCCATGTCTACATCGGCATCCTGCAAGGGCTTTGGGGAGATGGACCGTCCTCTGGTCGACATGGTTGAGCTTGTTGGCCGATTTTTTGAACTTGCAAGGGAATGCGAAGTGACACATCACACGCGTCACATTGTCACAACACAAGACAGTTATTCCCTCTATACTACTATACCGTTGAAAATTCGTGTCATGCGCATTCAGCACTCCAAACATAGGTTTTTCTGAGGCACATTGCGAGTTGTAAAACCTTCGCCATCGCAACATCAATGTTTTCAATCAATGTCTTTCACAATTTCATCAGCCAAACAAATCTTGATTAATTTGACTGTCACCAATATTAGAAAGTGTCTCCATTGTCGGCCAAGGAAAGCTCTGCTGATTACTCAATCACTCAGTCCTTGCTTTCTTACGGCGTGAGCCCTTCTCTAATCCATGGGTCCGCTTGGCATGTCTCTTCAGCAGATCTTGACGAACGAAGGTCTGCCCACAAATTTCGCAATGATAGGGTCTCACGCCAGTATGGCTCGCTTCATGACGTTTGCATTCATTCTTGCGGAGGAACCGTTGTGGGCTATCGACAATCGTCAATGAGTGTTAGCCAGTGATCGCCAGAGATGTAGCAAAATAATGCGAACCACATGGAACAGCTGAATGGCCGTTGATCAACGTGAGCCCCGACGTGTACAATGATGTGATCTCGGCGCTTGTTCCTCTGGTCACACCCGACGACGTAACATCGGAACTCTTCTATAAGCTCTCCGCGGTCGCTCAACTTGCCCGCGAAATGCATCAACCATCCTCGATCGATCTCTTGTACAGAATGGCGTGCCCTATAGCGTTCGGCTCTGAAGGTGAGCTCAGACAACTCAATTCCCATGTGCGCGTTGAGAATGGGCGATGGATGTAGATCATTGTAGATGCTGAGATCTGGCTCGACCGTGGTCTGCCTTGGCGGAAACATATTGTTGGAGGAAGGGAACGAAAAATTGTCGTAGCTAGAAAAAATGTAACGCTCCTCTTGATTTGGGGAGAACACGCGCAGTATAGATGCATCAGGCAATGTCTCCAACTTAATTATCGGGGACGCCCTAGCCCTCTTCTGCGGAGCGCATTGTTCGAGGGACAGGCTGTTCGCTATATATGACTGGCATGGGCTCCGGCTGGGCAGTTTCCTGTGTTGCAGAAGTGGACAGGATGGTAACAATATCGTGAATTAGACGTGGCGATGGGCAATCCTGAGATGGTGGACTGGGGGTCAATTCCTGCATCGAGCCAAGAGTGGAGGGAACTGAATCGTGAATATAGGGCGGAGAGCATCGGAAGGTAACATTGCGAGGGGTGAGGTGGGGCGACAGGTATGCTGGAGGGGACGCGGGTAACCATCCCATGATGGCTGAGGGGTCGACACCTACACTGGGTGACTTCGTAAACAGTGCAAGGTTGTACATGTTGACTGTCAGGAATGAGACCAATGTTGGAAGGTGAACAAGAGAGAACATCATCCGCGAGGTGACGAGCCAAGGAGAACTCTCTTGAAGTCTGACCTTCCTCATTTTCAGTGACTGACGGAGCGGAAGCTAGGGAAGCCAATGACGATGAAGAGGAGTGCCCAAGGTTAGGCAACGAGGTGTCACTTGAAAAGGTGAAGGAGCTTTGAGACTCGTTTAAGTGACTGAGGATTCCGGCAGTATGATCTGTTAGTTGGAATGCCGCGCACGGGGGAATTGAATGATTTGGGGTGCTACTGATATCGTCCGCCCTCATATACGAAGCACTTTGTCCCTCGCTGTACAAATAGTGTCCCTCGGCGATTTGCATGAAATTACTGGAATCAATTTGGTAGTGAATTCCAAGCCCAGCGAGGAGGCGACAAGAAGGTGACTTTATGAGCCCATTGTACTGAGGATCTGGGGACAACCTTGAAAGTTCGCTATGGTCCTCGTAACGCATGTTTGAAGAAGAAAAGAGTGTGGGGGTAGTCATTCGATTTAATCGCAACGCCAGCGTCGTGGTATTATCGGAAGTCATATGAATAGTTGTTCTTGGGGCATAGCTGCACGTCGCGTCGCGAAGGTGTCTCATTAAATGTGATTAAAGTAGAATAGACTGTGAAAGAGCGAAGGTCGTAATTTTCTTGAACTGGCGGGAGATTCAACTAAAGGAGAAAGTTGCAAATGGAAATATGTCGATCCATGTTTACACCTGTTTGGCAAGAGCATTTACGTGTAGTACTTGCTGAGCACTCGACACCAGATGCTCAGGCTGAAGCCAGGTTTTCAAGTATTAGCGAGTCATGCTGGCTTTCGTGCTAGAGGTCTTACAACGGTCAATGCATCGAGATCTTTACGAAGGGCAGCTGCAGCACTGCTCCTAGGAGGCACATCTACTGCTCTCGCCGCTTATTTTCTCTTACCTGACATTTCTCGAGGCGCGCCAACTTGTGACAACATACCCCTCAGTCCGTCTCACTTCACACCAGCAAAACTCGTTTCATCTACTATCACATCGAGTGGAACAAAAATTCTGACTCTCGCGATACCTCCCGAACTTTTACCCGAGGAAGGTGATCTCTTCGCACCTATTTGGTCCGTCTTCATCAAAGACGATGACATACAAGTGGAGCGACCTTACACTCCACTTGATGGGGTAGACGAAAACGGAAATATGAAGTTCTGGATCAAAAGATATCAACATGGCGAAGTCAGCCGATGGTTGCACTCAAAACAAGTTGGGGATACCATTGAAATTCGAGGCCCTCTCAAAACCTGGTCTTGGAAGGATGATGCTTGGGACGAGATCATTTTGGTGAGGAAATAGTAATAGTCAATTTTATAAAACACTCATATCTAATGATTTTTGCGTTCAAGATATCTGGCGGTACTGGGATTACTCCGTTCTACCAGCTGCTGCGTACCGTATCATCTGGCAACTCATCATTTCAAGGTCGAATCACACTCTTACATTCATCAAAAACACTTTCTGAGCTGCCCCCGCACGATATCCTTGATCCCCTGTTAAATTTTGCACGGCATAATCCGGAGAAGTTCAGGCTGAAGTTCTTCGTTGACTCGTTTGGCGAAACCAAAGGTCAAAGTTCTATGGATCTAGAGGTACACAAGGGTTCCATTGGTAAAGAATCAATACGTAGCGCTCTCCATTCTGTCTCTTGGTTTCCTTGGTGGCGCGGTTTGTTCTCGCAAGATAGTGATGTCAGTGATCGAAAGATACTGTTTTTGGTTTGTGGTCCTGAGAAGTTAGTCCCCACTTATGTTCTCTGTTCTGATGTTGCTCATTGATATGTCGCAGAATGGTTGAGGCTATCGCGGGTCCTTATGGCCGGAACTACTCACAAGGGCCAGTAGGCGGAGTGTTGCAATCATTGGGATACAAGTCGCGCCAGGTCTGGAAATTATAGATATCCGACACTTGCAAAGCCATATGCTTCTCAAATCTCAAACTTACTTCACCCGGTACAATGGCGTCTTGTCCCCCCAGCGGGCTTTTGATCTAAGATGGGCTGCTATCTTGTGTCACTTTTAGCTTGCTAGTTATATATCTATTTGAAAGGACTCATCATGGACTAGACGCTGATTCCGTATTTTAGGTAACTTCCGTGTAATTTTGCGAGTTGTCCGCTACTGACGTGAATACATTGTTGTGTCTCCACGGCGACAACACTTCCCGGGCATATGTCGAATATTGGCACGCTCCAAGCATCGCTTTGAGCTGCAGGCAGCGCTACCGATCCCCTATTCGAACCTTCATATACTGTTTCAACTGACTCATACATTCAAACACTGCGCCTTAGAGACCCGCAGAACACGAGTCTAATCCGACAATGGCCCCCCGAGAGTTTTCAGGAACTTGTCACTAATATTGGTCATCGAACTGGTCCTCGCTAGTGTTGAATGAAGGTGGAACCATCAAACTACTGTGCAGCTTTTCCCTGTACGTGGAATCACTGGGTGTGATGAAGGTCATACTGTGAGTTTTTTGTTTTGTCCCTCTTGATATTTATAGACCAGACCAACTTGGGACAGAAGATCACTGAAAAAACAATCGCAGTTACTGCGAAGAACCAAGAACTTTGATTTCCCGGATGGTCATACAGTTGTGTCCCAATTCGTCTTTCCTGTGACCTCTTGTTTCTGTATATGCGCGCCGGAGCAACACAGATGATCAATCAGGATGTGTCTGGCTGTGAAAATCGATGCAACGTCGATGGCATCAAATGCTGTGTTTTGCATCAGAATCCCACCTTTTTTGCATACTGATGATGTTATAGCCGGAGGTGCACATGAGGCGACAGATGCTGAAGATCTTGGAAGATTTGGGGCATTGAATTGCATCGTCGAGGGCGCTTCAGCCTGGGGGAGAGGTAAGGCATTTGTTAGCCACGTGTGGACCTACTCTACCTTTCATTTTTGACCTTTCTTGAGCCTCTCCGACAGGTTGTGATCGTGACAATGCATTTCATCTAGACACGTGGGAGATCAATGAAGCGCATGGTCTCACTGATGGAATTGCTGTAAGTACTGATGCGAGTGCCAAGAACATCTTGAAAATAATATTGGCAATTTGGGAATCAAATACTAGCAACACAACCCGATTTTCAAACTCTTCCGGTGTTCAACAACTTGTGCGTGTGTCACTGCTTTGCAGATCCACAACCAGGCTGTGATTTCGACTCAATTGAGGGCTCCCGTGTTCTCCGTGATTTTGTTTGATGATACTTACTTTGCTCAAACAAGGCAAGAACGAGGGACAGCCTCATGATGCTTATTTCGCCGATATAGGCGCTGGATGGTGGTATATTTAGTGCGAACACCATCGGTTTACGTCCACCCACTTTGCCATTCGCTCACACTCACCCCTCGAACATGAATTTAGTCTCAAACGATCCTAGTTGGCTGGTCGTCATTTTGAATCGATTTCACAGCTATATTGCAGGTTTGTGGAGAGCCAGTCAGACCAACGTGTCTCGATCTGATCTTGAATGTGGTTTCGCAGTTGCATCCTTTACTGCAGTGGTATATGATTGGGGTGAGCGGACAATATTGAAAAACTATTGATATCCTAATGGTATTTCCAGCTTTAACCTTCGGACGAGAGGTAGGCCGAGTCCATATATATTAAAGTGGATATATCACTAAGAATGGTGTTATAGGTTGAACTAGTTTGGGTGAGCAGTGTCCCGTATCAGAACAACAGGTTGATGTAATTCATTCGGGCCCAGAGGCAACACTGGTCACTTACAACCATTTTGTACCTCACTGTACGTGGCTCATGTATACACGCAGTTGGCAAGTTGTGCTGACAATATTTGAATTTCTAGGTACGCTATGCTGGGATACCATATGTTGTGTATGTTTCCCAGACTGAAGAGCTCAAGTTAACACTACTAATAAGCCATCTCCCACAATCAGCATGTTCATGCTAGGTATGTCTCTTCACACGCGCTGCAATTATTTGTTCTGATTAATAGCATGCAGGAAGTCTTCCGTCAGTCCCGCTAACAGGTATAGTGAGTATTCTGCATCCATGTCTGTTATTTCCGTCCAAACAATTGCGCTCTTACCTAGGGGTGAGTTCTCCATTGACTTGTTCGTTCAATATAATGATTGCAACAGCTGTGAGTGTTTGGGTGCTCATGATCCTCCTATGCTCATCTCAAACTGGGTTTTTGTCAGGCAATACTATGTTTATTGCACTAAACTGTATGCATGTGGTGGTTGCTGCCATGCTGGGTGGTGAGTTACTCGGCTGCAATATCCTCGTGATATCTTGACTGAAATGTCATACAAGCTATCATGATTACTCGGTTACATGCCATGTATCAGGGGTCGAGAAAGATGCTTATATTTCTCATTGTGATCCTACTTGTTCTCACAATCGCCGGCGTAGTGACTACTGCAATAGGAATTAAGCGTAATTCAGAAGGTAAGCTTGGATTGTGAACAAACGACTCAAGTGCATCGGGCTCATCCAAGGAATGGCAGACGCCGTTTCTAGCATCCATCAGTGCACTTATAACTACGATAGAGATGGCCGTCTTCTGATGTCCATCACTTGGATACTCCGCATTGTATGGGAAGTCCTCGTGATGTGTCTTGTAGTCTGGATTGTCATAAAACATTTCCGGCAATTGCGACCATCATCGCAAGCCACGATCATCGGAGATTGTTTCGTGATTTTAATGAAGACTCACGCGGTGTACTTTGCAAGGTTAGTTACCAATTTGACTGTGTTTATCTTCCTCTGCTGAAGTCCCGCACATTCCAGCTTTGTTGCTGGTTCTTGGTTGGCCCTTGGTTATTTTTTTTCGACTGTCTCGGTATGCCGATCTTGCTGACATTTGCATATCAGTATTTATCATTTCTATAGGACTCGACTTCCATAGGCCATTATGGTGCTCTGAACATCTTCTCGGTCATGCAGATGTTTGTGCTGGGACCACGCCTTATCCTTAATATTCGAGGATATCATGCTAAGCTCTTAA